AGAGCTATGAAAGTCATTCAACAAGGAGGAAGCTCTCCATTCAGTCTCAGTCTGGGTTTCTCCATGTCCTGCAACCAAAATGTATAGCGTAATCACTTGGCATTGCAACCAACAGCAGTGGTGTGGTGGTTTGAATGTAATTGGCTCCCATAATCTCATAGGGAGTGGCACTATTAGAGGTGTGGTTTTGTTTGAGTGGGTATGGCCTTCTTGGAAGCAGTGTGTCACTGGGGAGGGGGGCTTGGAGGATTCCTATGCTCAGGATACCACCCAGTGTCTGAGTCAACTTCCTGTTTCCTGCAAGATGTAGCACTCCCAGCTCCAGCACCACATCTGCCCACACACTGCCATGCTCCCCATCATGACAATAATAGACTGAACCTCTGAAACTGTATGTGAGTCACCCCAATTAAAGGTTTTCTTTATAAGAGCTGCTGTGGTCATGGGTCTCTTCACAGCAATAAAAACCCTAAGACAAGTGGAAATAGCCCTTATAGCTTACAGCCAGCAAATTATAGGGACGTATTCTGTGTGATGGTACAAGTCTTTAATCCCAACACCCTGGAGGCAGAAGCTGGCCTGGTCTACGTAGCCAATTCTAGTACAGCCATGGCTACAGAGTGAGACTCTGTCTCAAAAAAAAAAAAAAAAAACTGAGTCCTGGCATCAGGATTTTCATCCAACAATTCTACAGCTCCTGAGAGCGCCTTCCTTTAAATTCCTGAACTGTCCGTCATCTTTGCTGTTCCTCAGGTGCTCTCTCAAATGTATAAGACCTTCAAGGGTTAGCATTATATAAAGAAACCTTCCTGCAGAAGATGGGTAGACTCCTGGAAGGCCCCATCACTGCTCATTCTCAGGAAACGCCGATTAGTCTTAGACAGCTCAGGGGATAATTAATAGTAGTAGTAGTAGTAGTAGTAGTAGTAGTAATAGCAATAATTGTAATGAACTGTTAGCAAAGGTTAATACACCATGAAAGGATCACATCACTTCTCCCAGTTATTTCATCTAAAGAGCAGCGTTGGGTGGAGCGAGATGGCAGGTAGACACTATCTAGCCCTCTATAATACAGCGCCATTTCCCTGGAGCCATTCGATGTCCTTATCCTGAAGTGCTGCCGCTGCGCCTCTGGGGCTATTGAACACCTTCCCTTCTCTGGGGCGCTGGTGAGGAGTCTGTGCTGCCCTGCCCGAACAAGGCCAGAACGGGCAGGCAGTCCTGGTTTCTTTGTACTGCTGTGATAAGCGCCATAACCAAGGGCAGCCTAGGGAGGGCAGGGCTTACCCGGCTCACACTTCACCTAGGGAAGCCAAGGCAGGAACTCACACAAGGCAGGAACCAAGAGACAGGAACTGAATGCAGGAAAGGTTATGGAGGAACACTGCTTACTGCCTTGCTCCATGCAGCTTGCTCGCCCTACTTTCTCATACAATCCAGGACCACCTGCCTGTGGATGGCACTGGTCAGAGGTGACTAGCCCGACCACTTCAATCATCAGTGAAGAAATTGCCCCACAGGCTTGTCTATGCGCCAGTCGAATGAGGCATTTATTCAGCTGAGGTTCCTTCTTATCAGAGGACCCTAGCTTGTGTCAAGTTAATAAAAATAAAAAAAACACTACACACTGACCAGAACAAGAGTCACAGAGTCACGCTTTAGACTGCCATGCCTGCCCCTGCTGCGTGATAGGTTCCAGATTTTTGCCTTTCTATGAACTGTGCTGGCTGGGAGAGCGTCTTGAACTAAGTGGTCAGTCTCTCCCGTGCCCAGTATGCTTTTGGGAAGGCAGGGAATGTACCCTGCACACTCTTAAGAGGCTAACCGCCTACAGCTGGGAATAGCTGGTTTTGACCTGTGTTATTTTGTTGTCGGTGGCCCCTGCGTGAACTATTGCTCAGGTTTCAGGGGCTGTCAGAAGTGTGCTCAACAGCATTTGATTTTTCTGTTATCCTCCCCCTCAGGAACGCAGATGACACAAAGGTACATTTGCCTATGAGTGGCCCTGACAGGCTCCACTGTCTGACTTCCCCTGATTTCATCCTTTCTTGGTTGTACATCACACCCTGGTCTGCCCTTCACATCCCCTCCCAAAGCCTCTCCCATCTCACAGCAGGACACAGCGAAGTCACTGATGCCTCACACCAGGCCTGGGACCCAACAGAGTCAACCTTAACTCTCCTGCAAAGAGAGTCCTTCTTGACCCAGGGAACTGGGTACCATGCACCACTTCTCTCAAGACCCTGCCTCAGCATGCCTGTCTTCCTATGGCATCCCAGCCCCTGACATTCATGGATATTTCAGCAAACAATCACCGATGTTCCTCATGTCCCATGAGAATCAGGTGGTGTAGGAAGATCTTCTTTCTATGTGTTGTTTTCATTGGTCAATTAATAAAGAAACTGTTTGGCCTGATAGATCAGAACATAGGTAGGCGGGGTAGACAGAACTGAATACTGGGAGAAAGAAAGCAGAGTCAGGCAGATGCCATGAAGCTCCGGCCCGAGATGGACACTGGTTAAACTCATGCTGGTAAGCCACCATTAAAGGGGGATACAGATTATTAGAAATGGGTTAATTAAGATATGAGAGTTAGCCAAGAAGAGGCTAGATATAATGGGCCAGGCAGTGTTGAAATGAATACAGTTTCCATGTAATTATTCCGGGTAAAGCTAGCTGGGAGGCAGGAAGCGGCCTGCCGCTCCTTTTACAACAGCACAAGTGGTAGAAGAAAAGTTAAAGCTGAAAGGGATAGTTAGGCTTAGGAGAGGTCTGATCTGTAGTGGAGTAAAGCGTCTTCAGGGCAAGACCCCATCCAGCTCAGCTTCCATCTTCTAAAAGGAAAAGGCCTAAGGAATCTTCTGCTCCTGAAAAAGAAGAACAAACAAAAGCTACCACAAATGTGATTCAAGGGGTCCAGGGCTCATTCCAAGCTGGCAGCCAAACTTGGCAGTTTATTCAAATCGACTTTAGAGTCATGAAGTATGCATGAGAGATGGGTTGTGGAATCTTACTCTGTAGTTTCACAGAGTTGCTGAGACCATGTGTGTGGCAGGACCTTTCTAAGAGGCCACTGCATGAAGCTGTGGAAATGAAGCCTGTATTCCATCAGAGATTGCCAAGTGTGTAAGATGCTAGGACAGCGGGATATATGCCAAGGAGATGTAGTAAGAGGCCACTTGTTTGGCTGCCCAGGTATCTTAGACCAGAAATAATCACACAGAAGCCATATTAATTAAAACACTGCTTGGCCCATTAGCTCTAGCTTCTTATTGGCTAACTCTTATATATTAATTTAACCCATTTCTATTAATCTATGTATTGCCACATGGCAGTGATTTACCAGGTCATGTTCCCAGCGTCTGTCTCAGGTGGAGGATCTATGGCTGCTCTTTGACTCCACTCTTCTTCCTCCCCTCATTCAGCCTAGCTTTCCCTGCCTACCTAAGTTCTGCCTTGCTATAGGTCCAAAGCAATTTCTTTATTCATTAATGGTAATCACAGCACACAGAGGGGGATTCCACATCAAGGAAAGCTGCACGCAAGGAGTGGGACCAGCTCAAGAGAGAGGTGGGTAGTAAAGTTTGAGGGATGGAGCCATCTGAGTCCTTTGACATCAGACATGTAGATACAGGATTGGGAGTTTGCCCTTCTGGGTTTGGTCTTGCTTTGGTCCAATGTTTTCTCATTATGCCCTCATTTCCCGTTTTTGTATAGTAAAGTATATTCTGTGCCATTATATGTTGGAAGTATATACTTTGTTTTGTTCTTGATTTTTAGGGGGTTACAGTTGAGAAATTGTCTTGAGTCTCATAAAAAGACTTTGGAATTTTAAAATAATATTGAGACTAGAAAGATTATAGGGACTTTTGAAGTTGGACTAAATGCATTTTGCATTATGATATGACCACAAGATGATGGGGTTCAGGGGTGGAATGTGGTGGCTTGAATGAGATGCCCTCTGTAGCCCAAACCTTTGAATACTTAGTGCCCAGTTGGTGACTCTGTGTAGAGGCTTAAGAAGTGTGGCTATGCTGGAGGAAGTATGTCACTGTGAGTGGCTTTGAGGTTTCAAAAGACCACAGCCATTTTGAGTTTGCTTTCTCTCTCTCTGCTTCCTATCTGTGGTTTAAGATGTAGCCCGTGTACTGGACTGAGCTCCCAAGGTCCAGATGAAGAGTAGAAGGAGGGAGAATATGAGCAAGAAAGTCAGGACCGCGACGGGTTGGTCCACCCACTGAGACAGTGGGACTGATCTAATGGGAGCTCACCAAGGCCAGCTGGACTGGGACTGATGGAGCATGTGATCAGACCAGACTCTCTGAACGTGGCTGTCAATGAGGGCTGACTGAGAAGCCAATGATAATGGCACTGGGTTTTGATTCTATTCCATGTGCTGACTTTTAGGGAGCCTAGTCTGTTTGGATGCTCACCTTCCTAGACCTGGATGGAGGGTGGAGAGCCTTGGACTTCCCACAGGGCAAGGAAACCTGACTTCTCTTAGGACTGGAGAGGGAGGGGGAGGGGAGTGGGGAGAGTGGGGGAAAATGGGAGGAGGGTGCAGCCTGTGACTTCTGCTGCAGCCGCCATGCTTGCTTGTTGCCACGCTTTCCTACTGTCATGGTGATGGGCTTCTATTCCTCTGGACCTGAAAGCCCAAAACAAACCCTTTCGTCTCTTAAGTTGCTTTGGTCGTGGTGCTTTATTTTGCTTTGCAGTTTGGGTTTCTATCTTCTCTAATGTGTAACCAAGTTTCTTTATTTCAAAATTCAACAGATTCAACTTCAATGGTTATGTAACGAAGAAATTGGTCTGTGTCTACTGGATTAAATTCCAAGATATCTAATGTTCTCCATGAGATCACATGGAATAAAAATTTCAATGGAACCTTCCATTCACAAAAAAATTCAATTGTTTCTTTTAGCAGAAGGCGCCTGTTCTCAACCTTACCAGGTCTGATTGCCCTACCAACATAGATAAGGATATTGGACCAAAATCCAGCAACCCTACTTACAGAAGATGTGCTGACAGGGGATCCCACTCCCCTCTACCACGGGCCTTAGTCCTTCTGTCAGATCAAGAATAGTAGGTATGTCTTGCATATTGTCCCCACCCAGGCTTAAATTGCTACAGAAGGAACGGCATACATTTGATGTCAAAGATTTGCCATTGTTAATGTCTTAGTAGGGAAATATAGACGTCAGTTTAAGATGATTGGGCATGATGGGCTGTTTCTGACTCAGGGCAAGACCATCACTGCCTCAAGGTCAGGTTGTTGTTAACCACGATCCTAATTAAATAAAAACTCAAAGTCAGGTATCGATCAAGGGTGTAAACTGGAAGATCAGAGAAACAGAGCAGCCAGCCCCCAGAGACTTCTCGCCTCTATGAATCCTTAGACTTAGACCAAATGAGGGCAATTCTGTCTCTGTGAATCCTCAGACTGAAAGGGCTGAGATCCTGTCTCCACCCACTTTATATTCCTGTCTCCACCTCCCTCAACGCTGGGATTAAAAGCTTGCCTCCCAAGTACTGGAATCAAAGGCATGAGACCCCAAGTGTTGAGACCAAAGGTGTGAGCCACCATAGCTTGGCTCTGTTCTCTTTTAAATTGGTTCAATCTTGTGTAACCCAGAGTGACCCTGAACTCCTGATCTTCCTGCTTCCTCCTTGCAAGTGCTGGGGTTAAAGGTTGGCCCACCACTGCCTGGACTCTATGGCTAACTAGTGGTTCTGACCCCCAGGCAAGCTTTATTTGTCAGAACACAAACAATATATCATTAAACAAACCCCAAATGGACTTGCTCCAGGGTACTGTGACACTGAAACCCTGCTTCATTACCTATATGGAACACCCTCTAAAAACAACACTTAGACTCTCTCTGTGCAAGCCGAATGGTTCACACTTACAATCCCCAAAATTGGGAGGTCAAGGCCAATCTTGTCTGTCCAACAAATCTGAGGCTAACTACTTGAGACACTCTCTCAACTCTTATTAAAATTGGATGATGGCGGAGTTCGGATTATTACCAGAACTCAGAAGAAAATGTAGGGGATACTAGAGAATTGAAGGCAATTAAAATAATAGTTGAGGTAGAGAAAACTCAAGGTTCAGCAATAAGAAGAAAGATCCTAGAATTTAGTCTTGAGCAATGCTAGCATTTCCTGAGCAGGGAAGGGGGCCCATGGGAAGACAGTTCAGCTGCAGGAGAATTAGGAAATGCCCGTCTCTGTAGTCAATATTACAGTATGTTAGCAGTAGGGATGCAGAGTCGGGGCTAAAAATATTCACTCACACTGGCATGTGTGCATGTTTGTATGAGTGTATATGTCTAGTTACACATGAAGATATACATATGTACATGAAACATACTGTATTAGCCTGTTTTCTGATATTATGTGATAGTGGTTTCATGAGACTACATTGGAATCTAGTGTTTTCTACCCCTAGTTACGGAGCTTTTATAAACTGTAGCACATTATTCACACTTTTGTGGTAATCACGCCTGTGTTTATAGTCACACAGAAGTGTAGCACTTATAATCACAGTGTGTTCTACTGTTTAAATAAATAACCCATTTCTCAGAAATGTGCACCTGCCAGTAAGCAAAGCGTGACTGTATTCGATTCTTATCTTTGTCCTGAGTGCACTGTATCTATATCAGAAACAGAGATAAATATGTGTGTGTGTGTGTGTGTGT